TCTTGTCCCATCCAATTCCCACTCCCCCCTCCAGGGTCTGCGTTGAATATCCCGCGGGTCGGGACATTTTCCCAGATGTAAAATAAGGCAGCTGGATTTCAACATTTCTAAGGTCTCAATCACCTTGAGCATTCTATGATTATCTATCATCCAGTTTTCTAAATAAAACATTAATAGTTGAGTCTAGATTAATATGTTATTGTGTATACATAATAGTTTCATTTTAATAGCTACCTTTGGGACTTTTAACCCAAAGAAACAAGCAGCATGAGACTTCCTAATATTGCTAATAATATTTATCAGTAGAGTTCTTTACAAAACACATTGGGTCCTTCAGTTTCAAAATCAAATCTATTTTGTTTCAGTATTCTTTTTTTTTTTCCTTTTTTGACCAGTAAGGGGATTGCAACCCTTCGCACAGTGTGGTCCGCATCACGCTCAGCCAGTGAGTGCACTGGCCATCCCTATATAGGATCCAAACCCGCGGCCTCGGCGCTATCAGCGCCGCAATCTCCTGAGTGAGCCACGGGCCGGCCCTTGTTTCAGTATTCTAATGAAGTAACCAATAGAAGCTTGAACTGTTGTTGGAAAAAACAAAGTAGTAGCAAGAAATGGAAATCACCAAATTGCCAAGAAAAGCAGTATTATAACACTAAAGGTGTATTAATTAAATGTCATGGTTATAATTTCTCCCAAAGGAGACCCTGAATTTCTTAATTCTGTTCTTAAACCACTGTCCTAAACAACAGCATTATTTTGAGTTAATATTTTAAATGGCAACTCTAGTGGAACACCCCCTTCTTCTAGGAACAGTATCCCCTTCTAAGAAATGTCCCCCACCTCAGCTCCATATAAATGGTTTCTGCTATGAACTTTTCTCCACAGCAACAGTTCACTGGCCCATAAAGAAACACATGAGCAAAGGTAAGCCAATGGGCTTCCTCCTGGAATAGTTGGACTTGGGGCCAAGAGAGTAAGGAAAGTTTCCCTGAGAGTGCTGGACATGCTAAGCATGTAAGCAGTGTAGCCCATGAGCCACCAGAGGCCATGAGTTCTTCCATGTGGAGAAGAATGGTTTGTGGCAAGAGAGTGAAAAGGCAGAGAGAAGTGGAGCATAGCGACATCTGGGTAAAGACCCACAGAGGAAGAGATCCAAGGAGATTTGCAAATTATAAGGCTACAAGGGAGGCACCACTCCTAGACCAAGTCAGACTGGTGTGCTGCAGTAAACACCAGAGCAAAACAGTCCCCATAAACATGGTTAATGAGACTTAACCATGAACAACTGCCAATAGAACCTGGGAGCTCTCTGAATTAGCTATCAGTGTTCAGATAAAAGAAAGTGACCCTTTGAACACAGATCCATTTAGAACAGAGGACGGTGTGGTGACAATGAACAGAGTAAAGTCAAGAAAAGTGGGAATGAACACAGACCACACTACCATAAGCTGATGGTTTAGTGCAGAAGGACATGTGGCTAGTAATTGGACATGACTAAATCAATTTCATATCATATTTATGTCAACTACAAGAAAATAAATTAAATGTAATTTATTTCATAGGGTAGGTTTGTGATTCATAATCAATCACTTTTATAATCTTTATAGAGACTTAAATGAGTTTACCCTACAAGGTACATTTATAGAGAACTGAACCTGGAAAATCCCAAATAGCAATGCCAACAACATTCAGATTTTTAGAGCGTGAAGAGAGGATAAACAGTCCTCCTTACAGGATGGCTCACTGCTGCCACAACTTGTGTTTATAACTCCTTGCCGTGCCTCTTCCCCCTGGAATAACTTTACTTCTATCTCTCACTGTCCCACCTAGTAAATTTTCATCTATTTTTTTAAAGATCCTACTCAAAATATCATCAATGTAATGCTTTTCCCTATACCCTAGGCAGTCTGAGTCGCTCTGAATCCTGTGACCAGCCACTTCTGTGAAACTCGATAAAGCAGTTGTCACATTGTCATCAATTACATGTTTCCATGTCTGCCTTTCCCAGCTGGGTTGTATGCATCTCTGTACTCCCCAAATCTAGCTAAATAAATGGCTATTGAATGAAAGCATGAATGAATGAATCCCTAATCACTACGCATCATAATAATGCTTACAGTTTTTCAATTTGTGACAAAATAAATTTTACTGTAATTGTATACAGACGTGGTGATAACAGAGTTTTGCTCCTGTATGTTCATTCTTGCTAGTGCTATCCATGCAGTGCAGCCATCTGCTTACAACTTAAGAAAACAAACAACCAAAAAACAGTGTATGGTAGATGAGTGTGTTCCTTTCTACACAAAGATAACTGTATCACACTATCAGTGTGGGAGGTATGAAAGGGATGAAAGAGAAAGAAGTTTAATATTTTTTTCTAACTAAGTTTTACAGATATATTTTTCTATGAATCAGTTATGAAATTGTGAAAGGCAAAATTGGGGGCAAAAATATGGAAGTTCTGCTAAACTTTATAGACTGCAAATCATACCCAGTTTCAGTTTCTTGGCCAATGCATCAATCTGGGTGGTGGGATCAGATCCCATGGACAGGAAACATATCAGAGGTGTTCGTGTATCACTTTCTTCCCAAGTTTTCTCCAGATTTAAGATAACCGGTTCTGTGTACTTCTCCTCCAAAGAATTTGCAATATACTTTCTTGCTTGAAAAACAGTACGGTCTGGGCACCAAGACCTAAAAATGAATATAAGTGAGAAGAAATAAATTTAGTGTGTTCATTTTTTTATTCCATCTAATTCTGAGCACGTAAAGAACACATATTTAATTAGCAAAAGGGCAGCAAGCTAACTCTCCCCTATGTGGATCTGTGTAAGAGGGATGGCAAGGTTTCCTATCCTGGATGAACACAAATTTAATCACGTGGTTTTGGTGCCAGGCATTGGCAAAGAGTGGGGCAGAGCAAGGAACAATTTGGTGTCCTCTGCCAGTGCCTACACATGATGGGGCCAACCCGCTATGCAATCTGAAGCTCCACAGTCTCCAGGGGAGAATCAATGTGTGAAAGATGTCAAAATAAGTTGATCATCAAGCATTAATGTCACACCATTTGTGTACCACACACCACGTAGGATCTACACACAGAAATATAATATAAAAATTCTTTGATATTTGATATTTTAGATCATAGGCAAGCTCTACAGATTCTTATTTGCTAGCACATTACACTATTCATTGAACATAGATCCCATTTTTAAATGACGAGTAAAAGATAGACACATTTGTTCCAATAAAAATAAGTAGCCCTTTCATGTTCCATAAACTATGAGGTCACCATTGCTGCCCCTCTGATCACTCTTGAAGGGTGACAATATCCAGGAAACAACTTTTTCTAAGAAGTGCAAGCTTGGGTGTTTAACATCAAGGAAGACAAAATCTGCTCCAAAATAATCCTACATCTTTTTATTATTCTTTTAGTAGTCTCATCTCCCCCCAGCTGTACCCCTGCGTCTTACCCACCAATCACACACACACACACACACACACACACACACACACACACATATACACACACACACACACATGCTGATTTTTCCTATATAGAAGGCCTCTTTGAGCTACTGGATACTGAGAAAAGGTGAAAAGTGAGAAGGGAGGAGAATGTTCTTCCTTAACATCAATTTCAAACTTTTGTTTCCATTTTAATAGCCAAAGTAGCATTTATGCATTTCAATAGTATAATATTCTTGGCTTTTCCCCAAGTAAAATTGAATTATAGCTTATAAACTAATTCCTTGTAACTTTGTGAGGTCTATTTTTTAAAAGAAGTAAATTCAACAATAAATTATTTGCTGAACTCTAAATGATGAACAAAGTGAATAATAAAGACATATTTTTATGTGTTTTTGCTAAAAGCACTATCATTAATACGTTGTCCAAACACACCATTCCCTGCCACCATCAACATTTTATTTTGCTTGTCAAGGAACTGAAGAACTGCCATTCAAAACCACAATTTGAAAACACATGTATTTCCTATTAAAACTACAGGGACATAGCAAAGTAAACTCACTGAGGTAAGATCTGTAATTTAACAATATTATAAGTGATGCTTCTAGATCTGGTAAACCTATTCTCACCTGATAAGTAAAAGTTTGTGGCATGTATCCAGAGAATCATTATATCCATCTGGGATAATTTCCTCCTCTGGAGCATCTTTATCAAACCAGCTTTTCCATCCCTTTTCGTTACGAGATATCTAAAAGAAATAAGCCAATTAACAAGCCATAGGACTATTTGTAATTGGACAGGATTCTGAACAAGCTTAGAGGATCATTCTTTGCAGGCAGATAATTTTTCACACATCACAGCACAGTTTACTGTTTTTTCAGAATCAATGACTCATACAATATTATTCCCCTTTAGTTTTTCCATTGTTTTTCTACATTATTCACTAAAATTAGGATCATGTATCAAGTACACCAAATGGTTAGGCAGAAAAAAAACAGATCAAGGTCTTCAACCTTGGCATTATTGACATTTTGGGCTGGATAACTCTTTGTTGGGGGGCTGTTCTGGACATGGTAGGATGTTTAGCAGCATCCCTGGCCTCTACCTACTAGATGCCAGGAGCACTTCTCCCCCCCGGGTCATAACAATCAAAAATGTCTCCAGACATTGTCAAATGCCCCCTGGGGGTGGCACAAAATTACCTTCAGTTGAGAACCACTGGCGTAGACCACTCTGATAGCCACACCTCTAAATGTTGATCTCTACTTAAAAAATAGTGATTGATAACAAAATCAAAACTTTTATTTTCCCAGTGAACCCCACCTTGAGACGTTAAATCTAAGAATGCAAGAAGTCTCTGTAAGAGCTGGTCTCAAATATCTTCTTTCGGAAGCACGGAGAGGCATTGAAAGGAACTCCCAGCAGCCAAGTGCTGTCAAGACTAATTACAGAAACCATACACTGGTGAGCCTGTCGCTGCTCCTCAGCAACAATCAAGCTGGATTATTCAGACAGCGTTTGTAAGCACTTTTTAAAAAGCCATAGTAAGCACGAATAGCAAATAGCAAATGCTCATATCACAGTGCTATGGCCAGACCTGGGGTTCGTACTTTTACCCCTATTAACCCTACTCTTTGAGGCACAAAGAAGTTAAATAACTGCCCAAAGACACAAATCCTGTGAACAATTCATCATATAGGCTACAGAGAGGGTGCAAATTAATAACAAAACGGTTACTCTGTAACTCAGTTGCTCCAACTTTGTCCCTGGGACACTAAGAGATGGAGGGGGATTTCTCAAAAGTTTCATAACTGCTGTCTTTCTCCTGAACACTGCAGTGGCTCTCCCTGGCAGGCTGCCCTCAAAGAGTCTGTCTGCAGGCCACTTGCAGGGCCTTAGTGCTGCCACCCTTGCCCTACCGCACTTGTCCCCGGGGACTGCTGCCCACAGCGCCCCCTGCAGGCCAGAGAGAAGGAGGCACAGGAAGAGGGCAGGGGATTATTCTCAGCCTACAGACCTTCCACCTGCTAACTCTGACTCGCCCACAATAGAGCTTCTGGGGCGAGCCACATCTGTGATGGACGATGGGATCACTTCCAGCTCCTTGCCATCCACTTTCACTTCCTACTCCTTTTCCTGGCCTTCACCGATTGGCACAAACCACTTCCAGGTGTTAAGTAAACAGTCTGGCCTGGGATGCCAAGGTCAAGGCAGAGGCTGTTTGAGGTTATTTTTGCTTCAGTTCCTGGTGTCCACTCAGCTGGGAGACTGATCTACTTCCTCCCTTCTTTCCTACAGGCACGCCAGCTAGACGGCCGTCTAATGCAGGTCTCTACTGAACTTCTGAACTTCCGCAATCTTCCTGAGAACAGCCCCGCCCCCCACTTCTGGCCCATCTGATGGTGTAAGAAGAAGAGAAATAACTCCTGATGGCCTGGGATGCATATGAGGTCAAATTACAGCTTTGCCACTTATTGGCTATGTGGCCTTGGGCAAGCATTTAACTTCTTTGAATCTCAGTTTTCTCATCTATAAGATAAGGTCAGTAATACTCCCTTTGCAGTGTTATTGTTGTTGCAAAGTACCTATCCCATAGTAAGCAGTAATAACTACTAGATTATACACCACAGGTACTTAAAATCTAATTGGCAAAGGCAAATAATAATAAATATCCTTATATCAATATAACCCAACAGCAGAGGGCATGGGATTTGAGTGATTTTTCCAGTGGTGCTTGAAGACCTCCCTTACCCAGTCTCTGACCAGACTCAGACCACTTGTCCCCCTTCCCCAACGAGTATTTGTTTCAGCTTGAGAGACTCATCTGTGGCTATACTACAACAGAGCCTCCTGACCACCCACAGACAAAATCAGGAACTTTATCCAATTGACTCTGACCTAACCATGGCTGAATAGGTAGAGCCCACATGAAAAGGGTTTCAGAAATACCACTAAACAGACACAGCTAATGTAGTATGCTACTGGGGGATCTGTGATTAGAGCATGAGGCCTCTGCCCACCTATGATAATCTCCCTACACAGCAAAAAGAGATGATTATCAGCATTTGACACTTGGAAATTGCAGGCTCCATCAGTGACAGGCAGTTGTAACCAACACACCCCAGTAATAATGCAACATACCCCAGTGTTTTCCAGTGATAGCTGAATCAACAACTAATCCATGATAACCAATTTACATTTTCAAATAAGAAAAAACAGTAACACGTATATCAGTACCTGTTTTGCCATTTTCACCATTATATTTCATTATTTTATATTTTCACCATTACAATGATTGACTTTTTAAAAAATGCTCCCCCCTGGGCTGGCCTGGTGGCGCACTGGAGAGCGCGCCGCTTGGGAGCGTGGCGGCGCTCCCACCGAGGGTTCGGATCCCATGTGGAGACCGGTTCCCACTCACTGGCTGAGCACAGTGCGGGAGCAACACCGAGGGTTGTGATCCCATTGCCAGTCCCCGGTACGGGCGTGACACCAAGGGTTGTGATCCCGTTACCGGTCAGTAAAAAAGACAAAAAGGAAAAAAAAAATGCTCCCCAACCTCTTAATTTGCCTCTATTTCAAATTTACTCAGGGGCCGGCCCCGTGGCTCACTCAGGAGAGTGCGGCGCTGGTAGTGCTGAGGCCGCAGGTTCAGATCCTGTATAGGGATGGCCAGTGCGCTCACTGGCTGAGCGTGGTACAGTCAACACCGTGCCTCTTACCGGTCAGAAATAAATAAATAAATAAAATAAAATAAAACAAATTTACTTATAGGCAGAAATAAAAATGGAAAAACATTAATAGTCTACAATAAAAGGATCTACCCGCTTGTTCTGATTCTGACAGCAACTCAAGCAGGCATATAAAAATGACCCATGCTCACCACACAGAAGGAAAAGCCAGTTGCTGCACCTGTGAAGAGGTTAACCCTGAGGTCTGTCTGTCCAAAATTTCCCCCAAATAGCCACGCACCTTATACCCACGTTACTGTGTTGTCTCCTTTGGATGAAGGAATTGCCACCTGGAGGCCCCAGTAAAAACGGTCTAGGTGTGTTTGGGTTTACAGATCTGTATATTTAAACCAACCCTTTATTACCTGGTTCATAATTTCTGTAAATTGTGGAAGTTTACTCAGCTCAACAAGATTCAGCCACGTCATGTCGAGGATCCAGCGGAAGGGTTTGGGAGGGCAGGCTTTCAGATCCAGAGCTGCGCCCCCTGGGGAAAAGCATTGGTCAGTGGGAACCAGGTCAGCTTGTTCTCCAGTTTCAGAAATTTATTTTCCAAATAATAAAAGCGAGATAACCAGATTACAGAAAATATAGGAAAATTGGAGAATAATCATGTTACAGAAAATGTGGTTGTCTTTTTTTGGTACATTTCCTTCAAGTCTTGGTGTTTCATTTACTGATTTATACCATCTTATAAAATACAGATAGCAACTCTTTGTCATTTTTCCCCACAAAGAATTTTTTTCATGTGGTTATGGTTGTTTGCCTTTTTGATTTTTTTTAACAATCTAAAATTTACAATTTTGATATCAATGAATAGGTTGATCTTTTCACATGTGATTTTTAAAAACACTTCTTAGTCGTTCCCCCTTCAGAAGTTTGATATTTAATACTATTTATTACCACGTCAAATGGATAAACGGAAGACTGAGAGGAGGAAGATAAAGAGGGAAGGAGAAAGGGGAGTCGTTCCCCCTTCAGAAGTTTGATATTTAATACTATTTATTACCACGTCAAATGGATAAATGGAAGACTGAGAGGAGGAAGATAAAGAGGGAAGGAGAAAGGGCAGAAGTGATGGAGAGAGCGTCTGCACATATTTTAGGGACTGACTAGTGTTCGAATCATTTATTCATTTATTCAACAAATATTTATTGAGCACCCTCTATGAAGCTGGCATGTTCCAGGCACTGGGGATACAGCAGAGGAAAACAACATGGCCCCTGCTCCCATGGATCATATTTTGAAGCAAATCACAAGTCAAATGAGCAATGTGGCCATTTTCCAATGAAATATGTGATTAAATTTACAATTTCAAAATTCCTCTATTGCATGTCTTTCTGTTGTATCATAATAATTCCAGCTTCACTGTTGTCTAATTCAGATGTACGCAAAACAGTGTTTCTTGAACTTTTAAGTCTTGTAATCCTCCGTAAAAATTCATTAAATCCTTCCACTTCACATATAAACCCCTGGGCAAAAAAGCAGACTGGCGGTACTAAAGGTCTTCACTCTCCCCATTTACCCTCTTCCTGAGAAGGTGAGAGAAATACTTCTTTCACATAAATACCTTTACTCCACGGCAGAGGACTTGGGGGTCAGTGGCTCTGAGTGCCACAATACCTTTAGAACAACATGCAAACCTTCCTCTCACTGCTGCAGCCCCCTGCAACCTGGTGAAAAAGGAAATCTTACTCTAGCATCATTATTACGCTTGTAAGAGTTACTGATGGGAGAAGCAACCACTAGAGAGAGCCAACAGATTTTGCTTCCTGAACACAGAGACAAACTCATCCCTTTTCTTCCTGGTTGTTTCCAAAGAGGTGTTTTCATGTAACCATAAGTTTGGAGATACCAGGATTAGACCTCTAAGCTATGCTGGGGTCTCCAAACATATTGTACAGCTAAACTAACCCAGAACAATTACAGCCCATCCTATTTCCCAGTATATCCTGGCTCTGCCACTTACTAGCTGCATGAACTTGGACAAGGAACTCAAGCTCTCTCAGGTCCCTCATAAATGTGTGTAATGACAGAATCTACCAGACTGGTCGTTGTGAAGATTAAATAAATTAATGTACGCAGATAGCGTAGAACAGTTCTGGCCCATAGTCAGAGCCATGTAATAATCAGCTGTTATTTTTGTTTTGTTTTGTTTTGTTTCCTTTTTGTCTTTTTTCGTGACCGGCAACGGATCGCAACCCTCAGTGTCGCACCTGCACCGGACCGGGACCAGCCACGGGATCGCAACCCTCGGTGTTGCTCCCGCACCTCGCTCAGCTAGTGAGCGGCCGGTCTGTATGTGGGATCCGAACCCTCGGCGGGAGCGCCGCCGCACTTCCCAAGCGGCGCACTGTAGCAGTGCGCCACCGGGCCGGCCATCAGCTGTTATTTTGACATTAATGTTTTTTCTCTCTCAGCTTGAGAAGGCCCAGGTCCAGTCCAACCTAGAAGGCAAGAACAGACACCCTAAGGTGTCTTTTTGTCCATGGCTTATGACAAAAGAAAGATAATATCATTTGGCAGAAAAAACAAGTATATAAACTGTTCTATATTTCAGTATTGCCCCTGGTATTCATTTCATTTTTCAAAGTGTTCTGACATCCTCCACTGAAGAAGAAAGTCAAAGGCACCTCACAAATACTGCAGAAAGTACTAATTAATACAAAAGGACTGTCACTCTTGGGAAATCAAACATTTCTGCTATGACAAATAATTCTTCTCCTCCACTTAAGTATAGTATTGAGTTCAAAATGATGATAAAAAAAAAAAGTATTATCTAAGGACCAGATTTGTTAACTTTGTGAAAAAACAGTAAAAGCAAAGTCATACCATCTTTTAAAAAATAATTTAGTCAAAATGTAAGTCAGTTCAAAACTAATGCAAACTGTACAATAAACCAGTTTTGTTAAAAACAAAGCAAAAAAAACCCTTTTACTGCTGAGTCAATCACACTTCTGTTAATCAACCTATCATGCAATCCCAAATCAATCCTCTTAAAGCACTGCTCTGTTCATGCCACATCCCTGCTCATAAAACATTCGATGGCTCCCTATTGCCAACTAAATTAAATCCAAACTCCTGTCACTGGCTCTCCTGGATCTGTACAATCTGTTTTTCCCTGACTCTCCCGTTTTACAAAATGGGGTGACAAATGTGCTCATAACCCAGGTGTGCAGCCTTTATTTCTCTGAAACAAATTTCATCCTCCTGATGAATTCCATCCCCACTGTGTTGCCCTGTTTCTCAGTCTCAGATTTACACATACCCTCTTTCAAAGAACACAGTCTCTTTCAGGTAATAGCTCTAGCCTGGCTGAATTTGCCGGGTGGGGAGAGGGAAATGGGTGGGATTATGTCTTGACAAGGGAGGATGCCTCAGATCTTCACGCTGTCCTCCAGGTCCCACGTGTCCTCAGTTACAGGCTGGGTCCCTGTACAATTTTCTCTGAGCTACAACAAATCCTATCTGACCTGAAGGGGCAGCCCAAACACCTGGCCCTGGCCCTTTGTCTCCAGTTACAAAGTTCCCTTGCCCTGCAGCTTCCTGGTTTGAACCCCAGGTCTCTGCTGTGTTTCAGCCTTCTCAACTTTCCCGTGTCGCCACACTCCTGCTTGCCAAGCCTCAGGCTCATCCTTCGAGCTACTCCCTCCATCAATGCTGCGATCCTGCTTTCATGGTGGATGTGGCACAGGGCAGAATGTAAGGCATCTCCTATCTGGTTGTTTCTCCAGCACCTTCCTCTCCCCACTGAAGCTCAGCCTCAAGAGGCAGGGAAGAGATGAGGATCTTTGCATCTGACCTCCTCGTCCTACCTCTGGCTCCCTTTTCCTTTCCACCTTCCACTGTGGACCAAGGCACCGGGTTTCCCACTTCTTTCTGTATCTTATCTCCCTCCTTCTCAGGGGCTGTATTGGCCGATGGGACTCAGGCAGCAATGCCAGTTTACAGATTAGGAAAGATTCAAAAGTATACTTCCCATTCCACTTATATTCCACAGTATCTTAGTCCATTTGGGCTGCTATCACAAAATACCATAGACTGGGAAGATTAAAAACAACAGGAATTTATTTCTCACAGTTCTGAAGGCTGGCAAGTCCAAGATCAACGCACCAGCAGATTCAAGTGTCTAGTGAGGTGTCCTCATAAGGCCAGGGGGCAGGGGCAAGCAAGCTCCTCCAGGCCTATAAGGACACTAATCCCATTCATGAGGGCTCTGGCACCATGACCTAATCACCTTCCAAAGGACCTGCCTCCTAACACCATTACCTTGGGGATTAGAATATCAACATACGAATGGGGGCAGGGTACAAACATTCAGACTTAGCACACAGATAGATGCTTTCTCAAACTGTGAGGCCTACTTTGCCACTGCTGCAGCCTGGATTCCCACATGTGCCTTAATGCTTATACGAATGGGGGCAGGGTACAAACATTCAGACTTAGCACACAGATAGATGCTTTCTCAAACGGTGAGGCCTACTTTGCCACTGCTGCAGCCTGGATTCCCACATGTGCCTTAATGCTCCCCTACTCCCACTGCCCAGCGCCCCACAAACCTGCAGATGTAGCCCCATATCCGCATGAGAACTTAAAGATGACTGAAATGGGTCAAAGTAGCTTTCGAGATTTGGCTAATTCATACTCACTATATTTAAATGTCACCAAGACCAAAACCTCATACGTGTGGACCCTCATCAGTAGCATCTGTCCCTCTCTCCCAGGTGGCATTCATTGCTTCCTCTCTGAGCCCCCAGAGCCTCTTACACATGGAAGCCCAAGGTGATCACTCCCCGAGCTCACACAGCCAGTCAGTGGCAGAGCCCGTCTGTTTCCCTGGCTCCAGGCACAGGGCATGCTGTACATAAACACACTGCCTTCCTCCTGCATAGGCATTAGGACACCCACTTCCTCGGGTGCACTAGATCTGAGAAAAAGTATGAGCCAGATGACATATTCTGATTTCCTTTGAACTACAAGAAATAAAACCTGTGTTTGTGAAGAAAATGCAAAGAAAAAATTTCAGAGATTATATAAAATTGTTTTTGCTAAGTTTCTACAGTGGTAATCTGACCAGGGTCTGAGGAGAGAATTAACTGAGGTAGAGGAAGAGTAATAAGATGTTTAATAAATAAGATGCAGAGGATAAAAGTGTATCATGTCCTGTCACTTTGTAGTATGGATTTGAAAATACTGTACATTTTTTCCCTAGGTTATCTCTTTCATTCCCATGGCTTTGGTTGTTATTTCTATGCCCATTTTTGTAGCTGTCTGACTTCTTTCAAATTGTCTAGGCTATGCTTTCTGTCTGCTGGATATCTCAAATTCAACATGTCTGGGTAGTCACCAGAGCTGTTCATGAACCTTTGGTCTCCCTGCCTTCCAAGCACATGGGGGAATTGTATTTCCCTAATCTCTTTTTAATTAATCTAAATCTAATCTCTAGATCTTATCCTAATCTCTTTTTAATTGGGTGAGAAAGTTAGATGGGGATGGGCGTCTTGCTTTCGCTAAGGAAACGCAAGCATAAGTGTATTAGTCTATTCCTGTTGCTTATAACAAAATACTTGAAACTGGGTGATTTACAAAGAAAAGGAAATTTACTGCTTACAGTTTCAGAGGCTCAGAAGTCCAAAATCCAGGGAACACATCTGGTGAAGGCTTTCTTTGGTGGTGGTTTCAATGACAGCAGGGTATCATATTGAAAAAATGGTGGAGCAGAGAGAGCAGAGAGACTCTCCTCTTCTTTTAAAGCCCCCAGAACCATGCCCCTGACCACCATTTTTAACCCATTCACCATGGTCTGGTCCTACAATATAATCACCTCTTCAAGGCTCCACCTTTCAGCACACAGTCTGCCACATCCTCGGCCCTCTACCATAGGAGTCATGCAAGTGATTTGGATTCCTTCCAAAAGATAAGCATGACTACGATAAGCATGTTGAAGAGGTAGCAAGAAGGAGAAATATACTTTTGTTGGCTTAAGTCATTGAAATTTTGTGATTGTTTTTATGGCAGTGAAATCTGGTCTATTCTGACCAAAACTATATCCCAAAATCACATTTATCACTCCCCAACTCTAACACTCTTCAAACCAGCTCCTCTTTCAACCAACCAGACCAGAAATCTCTGCATACACCAGAAATCTTGACTCACTTCTGACTCCTCTCTTGGCTCTCGTACCCAGTCAGTTGCCATTTTACCTCCAACGTCTCTCATATCCTTTTCTTCCTTTATATTCCCACTGCCTTTAACCTAGGATGCAATTTCTTATGGTTGGGAAGATTAAAAGAGACTCTTTTGAATCTCTTTTTTTCCAAAGCCATACATGGCTGCCAGATTCATCTCCCTAAGGTACTGTACTGATCATATCACCACATCACACAACCTTGTTTCTTACCAAATCAAGAAAATCCTTCCTATAGGAATCAGAGCTCCCCACAGTAGGTCCCCAATCTACATGTCCAGCCCTATTTCCTGTTATCCTTCCATATCCACATCTCATTTCAACAAAACCAGACTGTCTCCTACAACTTAAACATAACTTCACTCTTCCTTTTTTTTCCCCCCATACTATTCTATTTCATCATGGAATGTTTTCCTTATTCCTACCTATCCTTTAGAGTCCACCTCAAATGCCACTTTCTTTTGGAGGAGCAAGGGAAGCCAGAATTAGATACAAAGAGCAAAAACACAAGAAAAAGATCAGAACATTTTTACCATGCATCAAATAATCCCCAAATTCATGTCTTAACCTATAAAGGTATATTTTCCAAGAAGTTTTTTTTTTTTTTTTCCCACCAAACACATGTAATCTATCCCTCCTTTTAGACCTCACACTTTTCTTCTTATCTCTCTAGGTTATTCTGCTCTGCTTTAGAGTTATTTTATAAATTGCCTTTTTCCCTATTATGAGGCTATTATTTCTTTCAAAGCAATGTCTGGTTTATCCTTGTATCCCCAACACTAGCATGGTGGGTTTACATTCTATGTGCTCAATAAATACTTGTGTAACTGAACTGAAATGAAAATATTCTTTTTCTTCTTAATTATACTTTTAACATGGAGATAAGCAATGAATAGGATTAACTTCAAATACAAAATACAAGTGTGCCTTTTTTACAGTCTTAAAAATCATTACACTCCCTTGCTGAAGGAATTGCTCTCCTGCTATAGAAAGTTTGTCAACAGCATTACTTTTCCTCACTTTGGCAATCAGTTCTCCTAAGCATGAGCAACAATGAACAAACTGAATACAAGTATATAACTAAAAATCACAGAGTTAGCACAGTCCTGAATCTTAAGTAACCAAAGCAAAATGAATGGAAATCGGGTGGGGGGGGGGAGTATGAAAAAAAGAACTTCACCTTCATTAGAACACAATTTCCCTGTCGCATTATAGAGTTCACAGTGTATCAAAGAGCATATCAAAAGCAGTGTCCTTTACATACCACATCCGTATTCCAAACACTTTACCTTTAATGAGAGCCTGAAATTCTTTGTGCTTAACCGTTCCTCTCTGCAGATCGATCTTTAAGGTCATGAGAAGTACGAAGAGGAATTTGTGGTTTTCGTATAGGCCTCTGACCGAGTATGTAAACACTTCGTATGTCAAATACTCAATAATATTTGTAATTCTCTTTTGAGGTAGCGGAGACTTTTCAGACCTGCAACACATTTTTAAAAACAAAGAAGTAAAACGCAATTTCCAAAAGAGTAGATATACAAACAAAAATTTTAAGTTACTGTTTTGGGGTGAAGGTAGTGAGGACTCACCTGGCCATGGACTGGTCAAATAACTTCAAGAACTGGGCCAGCGACGTCTGATACATGATGTTGACCATGCTCATCTCTGTGATGAGGAAGTAGAGGATGCTTCCGCGGGTGGCCGCAGGCCGGAACTCCTCCTGAGCTGTGTTAATCTTGATCTCTGTTTCTGCGGCCACGTGTAACTTCTCACTTACTTCAGCTGCTGTCTGCTTGGTAGTTCGGAGGACACCAATGAGAGATTCATCGTCTACCAAGGAACCTAAAAATCAGGACAGGGAAACTGCAGAAAACAAGCTGGAACAGCCACAAAGCAAGATGCATCACTTCTGAAATAGTACTCTTAATTTTCAACTTGACTCCTTCAAAGCCCACAGCATGCTAGAAGAGGAGAGTCTGAAGACATTGAAAATTTCTAGTCCAACTACCACCCAAGGCCTAAATCCCTAAAGTTCCTGCTGAGTGACTATCCCCTACTGTGTCTGAAAATCTGCAAAAGGACGATTGATGGGTCTTCAAATGTCTGAAGACTATGACCTCATCTCCAGTGGTTTTAGCTGTTCCCTATGTGACACTCTTTCACCCCATTGGTGGTTTTCCTCAAAATGTCACCAGCTTGTCCATCTCACTTGACTCACTGCACACATGGACAGACCACCTGGCAGGTGAATATTACACTGTCTCCTCCCACTTTAGTACAACGATCCTTGCCATGGAGAAACATCGTCCCTCCATGTCTCTAACAAAAATAAATTGGGGGATGGTGGCAATGTCTCAGCAAGAAGAGAAACCCTAATTTTATATTTAGTTTTACCCCTCATTATTGTTTTTAGTAGAAATAATATGCTTATGACAATGAATTCAGTTTTAAGGTATGGAAAGACACTTTGGATGTGTGGAGCCATACCTGCAAATGGCAGCACTATGTCCTATCCTAGAGTTTTCTGCATGACAGGCGACTACTACAGGAAGCACTGAGTTACTCTGATGGGCATGCTATGTCTAACATGGAAATCCATCTTGCAATTCACCTCATAGGAAAGAGATCTTGATCCGGCACAGTCTTGGCTAGACGAGGGAAACAGCCCTCAGCAAGTCTTGCTAATATCTAGAATGCCTGTAGGTATCCCAAATGCCTGGGAGAAGTCATTGGACTAAGAGAAAGATAACTTCACCAGCAGAAGCAGCACAATTAAGGCAGATGAAAGGACTTCTCACTGAGCTCAGCTTAAAAATTTATTTCTTGAAGGTTAGGGCTTTTTTTTTTTTTTGGTCTGGAAATTAAAGTACTGCTGGGAAGTAATCATTATTTGACTGTTAATAAATGGTGGAATTTAGGTTGCTGTGATTTGTGTACTACAGAACAATATAATGTTTTTTGGTTTTTCGTTTGTTTTTTTTTTTTTTGGTTAAAATTTTCTTTTTATATATTGTAGAGAGAGCACATCCTCAAATTGGGGTGTGGCATGATGATTTGGCCACCCTGAGGAGAGTCTATCCTTGACTTCTAAGTGGGAGGTCAAGTCAAGTCTAGAATGAGCTAGGCTTTGGTACCCAAGCTCCTCTGACACAGATTACACATGTCATACCCCTTTGTCGTAACTGCATTTCAATGCTAAATGAAAGAGTCAATCTAAAAAAAAAAATAGATTGAGCACATTAGTTTCCTTTGGGCAAGCAAATTAGCCTATTATGAGTTATCTAGCTCCATTGGGAGCCCTTATTTTTCTCAGGAGAGAGCAATTATATCATGAAAATTGTGTTATTCTCAGATGTTCAGTGTCTATTTGCTAATTCAAAAATCAGATTCTCTGTAGTACCTCTTTAATGTCTTGATGAAAATTGGCTTGCTTGGTTTTGCATTGATAAGTCAACTATTTCCTAACATCTGTAATCATGAGGGCATTAAAGAGCATAAAAGGAATCTTTATTCAGAATCCATTACTTGATTACTTCTCAATAACACAATACCTTTTGTGGCACTTAATTTATAGAGGAGGTTATCTTCAAGTTCTTTCATCTTCCGCTTATTAAAAGTAACATCCTCCAAAAGTTTAACCCTCTCAGACTCTAACTCCTGTTATTAAAAACAAAAAATAACATCAGAACTGTAATTACTAGCTATTATGGCAAATCCAACTTCCTAGTGTTTATTATCAATTTAAAAGATTTAAACCAAAGTGCCTTTCAAATGACAGAAGAAATTACTATCATTAGTCAAATCTATCTATCTGTTATTTTTGTTTCTCTGGATAATTTTTTAAATTATGACCTCTAGCATTAAGGTTCCTAACACTTATACTGGCATGCATGAGACAAACCTGCTGAAATAATTTAGCCCAATTACCCCCCAGCTCTCTTACCAGCTCTAAGTTTATTAATAGAGTGTCCCATTCTCATGGTCCTATTTCCACACCGCCTCTGTAAGAAATGTTAACTTTGTTCGCAGTCTGAAGTGGTAGAATCAGAGGCATTAATACCAATATACCAAGGGGCTAGCCAGGTCACATGTGATCTCTTGGCCTGGCACCTGCCTATGGGAACACCAGGCACCTGGTTTGGCATAGCCAGTTGCCAATACAAATCTACTTTCCATTGTATTTGTATCTCCTCCCATCAGAGGGGCTAAATTGGATGTTTGGAAGGTATTTTTTTTCCTACATAAAATGATGTATTTTAAAAGTTATATTTTGAAAATTTTTCAGACTTTCAGAAAAGTCGTGACGCTAGTACTGTGAATTCTCATGCACTTGTCACCTCCATTCACCAAGTAACATTTTGCTTTATCACTCTCTATATATAATACCTAATATTGTCATTATTGTTATTATTATAATTGCTGAACCACTTTCAGGTCTCATTACCCTTTACCCCTAAACACTTTAGCAAATCTCCTATGGACCGGGACATTTGCTTACGTAAGCATAATCCAGTATTCAAATTCAGGAAATGTAACACTGATATAATACTCTACTAAATATAGAATTGAAACTGAAATCATCTCTAACATCCTTTATAGAAATTTTTTTCTGATTCTGTACAGAACCATACATTGCACTTAAAAGGTATTTTAATAACTACTTTTTTGAGTGAGTTTCATGAAAAAGTGCTTCAGAAATTCTAACACTTTCAGAAAGTCTTCCCCAACCAACTGGTCAGTCACAGTCCACAGCACAGCATTTATCTGTACATCTACTGTGGCTCATATCACAGTCTGCCTGTAGATTATTTCCCTCCAACTAGAGTTTGCACATCTAAAGTGCAGGAACTTGTCCTATTCATTCTTGTATTCTTGACAGCACTTATCTCAAGACTTTGCAGAGAAGGCACTCAACCCAATAAATATTTGCCAAATTGAAATATGCTGAATTATGTTCAATTCCTTTATTTTACATCTGGGAAGCTGAGGACCCAGAAATATGAACTCCAAATGATATCCCAATAAAGCACATAAGGCTAACTACTGGCAGAGACAGGCCTAAAACCCCTGTACTCCAACTCCAGGGCTAGTGTATTGCCACTGTACTAGCAGGGTTGTAGTGTTTAATGGGGTGATGAAGAGCATGGCTGTATTTGCAGGGGAAAAGCTAATGAATTATTTTCATTAAAATGATCACCCCTGTGTGACAGCATAGGAATACAGGGTTTAAAATGAAGTCATGTTAGCTTCCTTTTCAGTATGATATGGAAAAACTGGCATCATGGCACAATGGACACTTGCTTAGTTTTACAGCATGGCCTATAAAGCTTATCCAGGAGGCTTAACAAGGTAGAAAGTCTATGTGCTGTTATAGGTTAAGACCCTTATTCTCTCTGGTCTCCATTTGTTCATCTATAAAAATGGGGGCATTATAATAGCAAGATTGTTAGGAGTGTTAAATATAGCGTTCATGATGCTTTCCTGCATATTAAGCATGCATTTTGTTTTCTCCAGCAAGTTTGGCATCTTAGCACATCTTGAAGCAGCAGCTAAGGCCTAAGATGAGTGCATCTGGGACACTCTGGGGACATTTAGATGATGGAGTGGCATGTCTTACAGAGGTTAGTGCAGCCTGCATGTGGGATCTGAACCAGGGAGGATCTGTCTCAAAATAGACCAACAGTACAAGTTAGACCGCAAAGGACTAATTTTTAACAGCTGACCCCATGTGGCCCTGAAAGGCAATAGAAGCAGTGAATTGCAGGGCCATGGCCCTCTCTACCTGTCTCGGGGAGAGGGACAGATTCCTTTTCTGGATAGCACAAGCCCGAGGCTTGTTGGAAACTAAGATCAAACAACTAAGAGGGTCCAAGCTGGGACTGTGCCCTTTTCACTCCTCCAGACTGGCTGCTTTTTGAGGGTCTCTCAGAAGGTGAGCCATCTCTGTTAACCAGGTAGGACTTTACCTCTCATTTTACTGTGTCTCTCTTTTTGGTGTCTGGATCACTTCTCTTTTTTTGAATGTCTTTCCTCTGTGTTTGTGGCCCTCAATTCATCTCTCTCCTCTCTCCTCCTCTGCCTCTCATCCTCTCCTGCCGTTCCTTTCCTCACCCTCCCCTTTTATGCCTCTCTGTTCTTATTATTTCTTAACCTTGCCTTTTCCTTAAAGCTTTAAATATCAAAATTAATTATATTTAAGCAAATATAAACTTTCTCATATTTTAGGCAAAAGCATTTTATATATGTAAATATATAAAATTACACTTTATGCAAATTTTATGCATGAAGTTTAATGTTTTCTGAGCTTTACCTTAAAAGTTAGTCTCTTAAACTCTTCCAATCCTAAGTTGTTCTTCATTTCATTAAAACCCTCAGTTACACTTAATTTCCCTGCTTTAGTGCAAATTTCATTTAATTAAAATAAAGGTGTGGCTCCCTAGATCATTAGATTATTAGACTGTAATAGCTGAGACTACTACAATGCTAATAATAGCCATTCAGAGCAATTTCTCTTTCTCTAGGATCACTGCTTTATTGAATTTTTCAGGTCTCCCCCAAGCCATTTATAGGACTATAGATATATAGATATGAGAGTCAATATAGCCAAAGGTTTAAATACAGAAATAGAAAGAGTTTTGTGTGTGTGTGTGTACATGTGTGTATAGGATCACTGCTTTATTGAATTTTTCAGGTCTCCCCCAAGCCATTTATAGGACTATAGATATGAGAGTCAATATAGCCAAAGGTTTAAATACAGAAATAGAAAGAGTTTTGTGTGTGTGTGTGTACATGTGTGTATGTGTGTGTGTGTGTGTGTGTGTGTGTGTGAGGTTGGAGGAGAGGTGAATTACATGATTACTTGACAGGAATCTAGACTGTAAAAGCAATATTTATGTTAACAAGGGTAAATATTATTTGCTTAATTTTTTTCTTTTCCATATACTTAGCAAATTCCCAATACATTTTAAACATTTATTAAAATTTATTCTAAGTAGAAGTTCTTTACCTTGAGAAAGTGATTACCTGTTTCTCTGTTAGAATTACTCTCCTTAGTAACTGATTCTCAAGTCCTTTCATCGTAACAGTAAAATCAATGACGGATGTTTTAGCATTGATCTCAGGGGTAAAGGCAGGGTTTGGTAACTTAGTAGTAATATAAAGTTTAAATGTATCCATGATATCACATTCCTTATCACCAACTTTCACCTACATAAATTCAAGTATAAGATTAAAAACAGCTTAAAGGATAGAACACGGAAATTGGGTTCAATTTAGGGAAGAATTTACCAAAGGTCAGTGCTGTGAAACTTGAATGAATTGGGAAGGAAAGTTGTAAAATTTTAATCACTGACTAACCTAACCATAAGTAATAAAGCCTATTCAATTTAAACTAATTTAGATTTGTGGTCATGCTTGAAGATGTCTTTAGCCATGACATCAAGCAAATCAAATGAAAAATTTATCCAAAACAAACGGTAAATAAAGGAAAATCCTGATGCATGTAAGATTTGACTTGAACTTTTAGTAAGTACTGATCATTCCCATCAATTGCTAGTAGTACCGAAGCTGCTATTTTTTTCCCTTGTTGAAAAAATTGTTTCCTACTATGGAAATTTGCTGTGTTTTTAGGAAGTATTATTTCTTTTTGTGTTTCACAGTCATATCTGAAGCACAGTTGACAATAGGGTTAGCATAATTTTCCGAGAAAAATGCCAACTTTTCTTTCAGAAATATAAAATTTATCTTAGACACTACAATTTGTGGTATATTAAAAAAAACAACTGGTTTTTGCTCTCTAAAAATCAGGTGGAAATCATAGCATTTTTAAATGACTTACATTTTCATTAATCTTAATCTTGCATGTGATTGAAAACATCTGTAAGGCCATCATCACATTCTCATGCACCATGCCTTCACATTGTAGATAGGAATCTCGGGTCTTTTAAAAGGACTTCGGGAATGGAGATTCTATAACCTCCTTTGACATGTTAAATATGGCATATGAAATAAGCCAGACACAGAAAGACAAATACTGTATGATTTAATTTATATATGGAAACTAAAAAAGCTGAACTCATAGAAGCGGAGGACAGAACAGTGGTTACCAGGGGCTGGGGGTCGGGAAAATGGGGAGATGTTGGTCAGAGGGTACAAACTTTCAGTTATAAGATGAACAAGTTCTGGGTATCTGAGGTATAGCATGGGTGGTGATGGATGTGTTCATAATTTGATTGTGATAATCATTATAGGTATATATGTATATCAAATTATGTTGTACACTTTGAATACATACAATATTTATTTGTCAATTAAATATTTTTTAAATGCAGTTCAAAATTGCGGGTGAGTCCACAATATCCAAAACAAATAACCAAAATTTGATTCTTAACTTCTGTATCTGAAAAAAGAGAAATTCTACTTCCTAACCTCATAGGAGAATGATGCTGACTCTTTAGAATATTAACTGGGCTTTTGTTTGTTTTTGTTTGTTTGTTTGTTTGTTTGTTTGCCATAAACTCATACAGGCTCAACTATACAAAAGTATAAAAGTATATAAAGCTATATATTGGATGCTTCATAAGTGTATGTTAGATGCTCCATAAATTTTTGCTGAATGAATAAAAAAATATGGCATATAAAAGAATTCTCATTATGAAGAAAATTTTTCTAAATAAATCTGTTTAATGAGAAAATTTGCATTCTTTACTTATTCACTGATATTCATAAAATAAAGTTGTCAAAAGTGAAATAACACAATCAAAAATGTTATCATTCGTCAAGAAATAAAAACAAAGAAACCTAAAGGTAGAGAATGACACCAATTAAAAAAGAAGCACTTATATTAAAAAATTTCATGTTACCACCAACAATTGAGAAGAGTATTCCATAGCTTCCAGCAAAGTCAATGAGTTTAGACTGAAAGTTAATAAAGAGAGAAATGAACAAATCAATGTGTATAGACTTTACTAAAATACCATTTTCTCCAATGAGGAAATCCATATTTTCTTGTAAAAATGTATATATGGCTCACAAAACCAATGTTCTCAGAGTTGTTTATATATATATGTATTATGTGTAACACTAACATACCATTACTAAGGCCAGACAATGTGTTTCCTTAATATATTATTTAGTTTCAGCTAAATGATTACTCTTACCAAGATATTGCTCTCTCTGTGTATTTTTATATGCTATAAAAAATAAAATAAAAGGGAAACACTGAATCAGATTGGAAATCATTTTTTTCTAGTGTATGAAATGCTTCTACCTGAAGATAACTGCCTTTGCTGCTATGCTCTAAAACATAAGTAGATGTCACCATTGTTCTGTTCTTTCCTTCTTTCTTTTTCTTTTTTTTTTTACAAAGCTCACCTTGAAAGTGGTGCCTGATTTAATGAAATTCTTCTCTAATACATTATCCAAGGCTGGATCCAGCTCTTCACGAATGTCTTCAATGAGAAGGGGTCGACCCAAGGAAAGGCTGTCTTCCAAGTGTGTGCGGAAATATTTATGGTTCAGAGATGTCACCTAGAAACAAAGAGCCCATTAGTCTATAAATGTTACAAGGAATGTGCCCATTTCTAAGTGGAAACCGAGACATTTGCTGGACAGGTAACTAAAAATTTTAAGGGCAATATAGAAAGCCTTATCAAAATAATTAAGTAACAAACAAAAAATTTTCAAAATTTGGTAAGTCACGACTTTGTTGAAGCCCTGGATGTGTAATGGGGTCTCTCTGATCGAAATAGGAGAATCAAGTGGCATTCCACTTGATGGGTGTCAGATGTCATATATCAGATAGAATGTCAGAGCTCTGCTCCTGACAGATGGAAGAGAAGTAGTCAAGGATTAATCCTTTTAAACATATGAGGGTAGTTCAAAAAGTTTGTGAAAAAATAAAATTAAAAGATGACGTGAATCTTTCCACAAACTTTTTGAAGACTCATCATATACAGCTATAATCGCCCAGAGAAAGCAAAGTAACTTGCATATCTGGATACTCATTTATCTTCTCAGAACCCCTATGAGATGAATAAGTAATGAAAAATAAACATAAGAATGTCAGAAATAATATATTGAGTCAAACCAAGGGTCCATCCATGTATTTTGTCTCTTAGTGACACAGGGAAGAATATGATACTTTCAGTAAGTCAACCTAACGGACTATAAATTCACTTTACATAGCCTTACATTTTTAAAATATTAGAATTCTGAATGCCTGGCAGGGACCCACATTTTTATATTAATGTTTGTTATTAAAATAGACACACGGGGCTGGTGGAGCTTTGCATGGTCCCACTGGCTTTGAACTCGTACTCCTTCTATGACCCCTCCCCCTGCCTAACTGTGAGGATTCCCACATGCTCAGCTCTCAACTCTCCATCTCCTTATCCTCTATCCTCTGAATTCAACTATTGCCTGTGGGTGGGGACCTCAGGACACAAGGAAGATCCACTGGGACAACTAGTGATTAGGAGAGTGGAATTCAAATATATAATAATTAGTACATGTAGTTTATTAATTAAAATATATATCTCAATTGCTATAAAAAAAAAGATGTGAAATTGAAAAATTAAACCAGTCTCCTTTTGTCCTGTTTTGATTAAAAAGGAAATAACTAAAATAAAAAAATCCTGCACATGACGTTGTTTCCCTAGATGGATAGCTTTCTTTATACAAATGATGTGCTGTAAAGGCCTTCCTATGAGTTGATAATGCAAATGAATCTTAAACAAAGAGCGTTAGCTTATTAAACAGGATGAAACAAGGTCCCAATGAGACTAAATTTGCTTATGCCCTGGCTTTATTTCCCAATGTGCAAATTCTATTTTTGTGATTTCCTTCCCAAGTAAGGAGTTAACAATTTTCCAATTGTCAGTTTATTCAAGATTATCTTTAACCACCTTCAGTATCTTTTATAAACCTGAAATAGTATCTTGGAGTCATAATTCCAGGTTTAATTCACTTGACTATTCTTGTATAGAAACCCTATGTGGTAGCCACCACAACAGAAGTGTAAAAGAGATGTTGTGAGGATTCAGGACAGGCTGTATTAAGCTGGGACACAGAAAAGTCTTGATGCAGGTAGTGTTGTATGTGGACTTTGAAGAATACTTAAAATTTTCATCTGGGATGTAAGTGGAGTGGCAAGTAGGGTGGAGAGAGACATTCCGATTAGTAGAAATAATATAAGCAAAATATGGAAGCAGGAGGCTTAGAACTCTGGGAACGGTGTCTAGGAAACACTGACTAGTCCATATTGGCAGCTGAATTGAAATATCCATCGCAGCAAGATACCCCAAAGGAGTCAGCAATGTTGGAATTCTGCCCTTGTCTACTCTCATCTTAAAATTGGACTCCAACTCCAATGCTGGACTCTGGTGTCCTACATAGTACCAAGGGCCTGAGATAGGTGGGCTTAACAGGTCTTGAACTGAGGGATCACAAATTTTTATTTTTGCTCCTTTCTTAGAAACCCAAACCTAATGCCCAGAACAAGAGCTCCATTTGATATTGGCAAAAGAGCCAGGGAAATGGACAGAGAAAGAGAGAAGATCAAGAGAGTACAAAAGAGAAAAGCTGTTGCCCCAAATTGCTGTTACAAAACTCAAGAGTGTAAATTAGCAAACATTTATAATAGAGATGACAACTTTATGACAGGCAGATTCAACTGAAATTTTGGGAAATTTTAATGATTTCAAGATTACTTTCCCATGCAACAAATGCTACATACCTGCAAATCATTTTCTTTTTCCTTTGATTTAATCCAAGTTTTGCCTTGAGTCTGTGGGTCTATGAGGAGTGGGTATCTGGTAGCCTTTGTCACAATAATACCATTCTGAATTGAGAGATCATCTCCCGGTAGTCCCTGCAGCCCCCACTCACCAATCTGAATAATAGGAAATGAAAATGGCCATTCAACAGAGAACAAATGCTTTCGTTAGTAATTAAAAGTTCTACAATATAAAACAATTTAAAATTTGTACACTTTTTTCCCTTTGAAACTATGCTTTAGGGGGCAAAAGCAAACTTATAAATGGGAACCAAATAATGGTAACTTTTATTTATTTAGTTAGTTACTTTTGGTAGCTGGCCATCAATTTTTTTTTTTTTTTTTCTCCTGGTGGATTCGGGGATCTGAACACTTGGCCTTGGTGTCTCAGCACCAAATAACATTAACTTTATTTATTTATTTATTTATTTTTCCTTTTTGTCTTTTTTCATGACCGGCAACGGATCGCAACCCTCAGTGTCGCGCCCGTACCAGACCGGGACCGGCAACGGGATCGCAACCCTCGGTGTTGCGCCCGCACCTCACTCAGCCAGTGAGCGGCTGGTCTGTATGTGGGATCCGAACCCTCGGCGGGAGCGCCGCCGCACTCCCAAGCGGCACACTGTAGCAGTGCGCCACCAGGCCGGCCCCAAATAACATTAACTTTAAAAAACAAATTTATAATCAAATGAATCCTTTCTTTAATTACTCAAGTCTAGGTTTGTCCCTTTACATTGTATTTTCACATTTAGGAAAAACATTGTAAATTCGTTGCATATTAAATCCGATTTGGGGTTAGAGGAGATGAAGAACATAATGAGAGATCAGAGAAGAAGACAGCCCCTGATACTTCCCCTTCCTGCCCTTTTGTTCTGCCTACATAGGGTATGGGTGATTGCATAGCTGGAGAGAAATTAGATGAGGTGACACATTACATTGGCAGGAGGAGCTCATCAATGACACTCTTGTGAATATTTTCTTCTCCAAATGTAGAGGGGATTGCCAGCCTCCCTCCACGTGGTCAATAACATCATAGAAGATCCAACCAGCCTCTACCATCATTAAATGATCCCAGGACCCCCAAAGGCCATAACTGATAAAGAATATTCCTGGCCCACTTTGCTTCACCAGTGCCCAGTACATCTTCAACACATAACCTGTTCCCTGTAAGGATGAATTCAACCTTGTTTGAATTGGAAAAGATTATTTTTTACATTTTAATACTGATAACATGAAATTAATAGAATGGCATCTCCTAAGGAAACAGCAACTGGAGAGCATATCTGCAACTCAGAAAAGCAGCTCACAAGTACAAATTGCCTGGGAAGCATTTATTACCATAGGAGCTCTGCAAGATATACTGAAAGTTGACAGTGGCATCAAATTCCCAGCAAGGTTAGTATAATGGGACACACTATTACTCAGTGATATAAAACCTGCTATTTGTGTTATGTTATTGAACACTAAAAAAGATGGCGAATGATAAAAAATAAAGTTAATACCAGCACTAAGGCCTAGATAATGCCTACATTTGCTTAAAATATTTGAAAGAGTGTGACTCAACAAAAGTGATGTAAATAACTGAGAGTTATAAGTAGAGCTCAGTATTAGCAAGCTACATACAACTCATGAATGATCTTTCTAGTTCATGGCAGTGCAATTGGTTTTAATCTGGAAGCAAAATTTCTTACAATGAAAAGTAACTTTTACACCACAAAGAAAATTCTTTTTTTTAAACTGTTAAACACTTTCAAAACAATCTTTTTGATTAAATGAAAAAGGAAAATAATAGGTATACCTTGATTTCTTGATAAGAATAAAATGAGTCTGAAATTCAAATAATATAGGGAAAGTAAACTTACAGTTGGAGGATCCACTAACATTGAAATAAGATTCAGGTTTTCAGTGAAAGGAATTTTCCGTGCTCGCAACTCTATCTCCCATTGATCTTTAAGCAAATAGTTCCTAAATATCTGATTGAAAGGACCAAGGTAGGAAAGGAATCCTGTGCACAGCAGAATATCACCTACAAGTCTGTTAAGAAAAAACACACAAGCCCCCTCCCCAAAGTGAGTCACCTAACACATTTTAGGCTCTTTCATTAAGTAGTTTGAAAGACCACAGTGCAGTTTTGTTTTTTACTAGATGAAATCCTTCTTTGCCCTTGGTATCCGGGCATGAAGAAACCATGCAAAATGGAGCCCCAAAACCCAAATGTGGGTAGGAGTGGCCACATTTGGCATATCTCAGGGAGCAAAAAAGAAGGGTCCCTCCAGAAGCCTACATGTCCAGAGCTTCGGCACCTCACGGAAATTATCTTCTTCCCATCCTATGCCATAGTCCTGTTCAGATTTCATTCTTGTGTTAAACTGTTCCCTCCCTCTTCCCCCTTTTTTTTTGGCCATTTTCCTACTCTTCTTTCATTCCCCTCCCTTTATGTTTTCTGAGGACACCAACAGACACACCAACAGAAGACACGCTTGCATTTAGAACAAACCATTGATACACGCTTTCAAAAATCACTGGGGTGAAGAGTAGAGAACTAGCGTGAGTATCTACATTGTTCTGGCAAATCCAAACAATATCAGAAGCACTCTCATACTGAAAACCCCCATTGCTAAATCACAGCTGAGATCTCAAATGTTTCATGAAATCTTCTTTAATCTCTATTTTACTGAGAGTGCATGATTTAAGTTATAAGCGCTTTCTTAGATGATGGGATCAGAGATGGACATGTGGAAATGAAAGAGAAAAACACTGAATTCACCATGGAAAAGGATTTTATGTTCTCTAATGTCACAAGGAGATGGTATTTGGAGTGATGACTAAGGGGAGTCAACCAAAGTTCATACCTATTAATCTGAGCTTTGAACTCTTTACTTTGCTGGGTCCACCGGACTTTTTCTCCACTCAGTCCATCGATCAGAGTGGAAGCTGCCTGCATCTTTTTCCGGCACATGTCAGCATCATTAAGCAAATCCTGAATCCATACAGGGAAAATGTCTCAGAGAACTTCTGAACATGCTTAATCAGACACCCATTATAGTCACACATAAAAATACATGAAGAATTTCTTAATTTGCAAAATACATATATTCTAAAAATCCACTGTGAGTGAAACTTTACCCATTAAATTCTGATCATTCATAATATAATTATTTTATCCCATGAAATTCCAAGTAAAGCTATTTTGTAAGAGAGAATCCAAATCACATAAATTAAAATAGTATTTCCATTAAGTATTTTCAAAATGGAATAAGATCAATAAAATACACCATTTTTAAGTCTTGGATTTAATAATAATCCTGAGTTCCTTGCAGTTTACAAGATGTTTTCTACCAGAAAAATTCCACACAACAGTAATGTTCTACAGTGAGCTTGTACCAGCTCATAAAAGCCCATTGTTAAATTTTCAGAAAATTTGTGAGCTGATATTAAACACAGCCATTATTAAAAATTAAATTATATAAACTTACAATTAAACAAATTGTATTAAAAGCAAAGGTAATAAATAATAAAAACTCATCACTTCCTAATTATTTACATTTTAATATTATCTGTGCTCTTGAGGTTACTTAGGTTCATTGTATCTGCATGGTGGGAATAGTATACAATGAAGTACTGCTGTGCATCTTTTTCCAAATCTGAGCTCAGTGATGTTACACTGGTAGTTTAAATTTGGCAGTGGTGGGAGTATTTATACCACAGAAATCAGCAAATACTACAAATCAGGGCTTTCCTCCCCACCACCCACTGTTCCCCTGACCCCACTCCCCAGAGAAGATTGTTGAACTAGACCACCACTGCTTACAACATATGCCAACAGGTTGTATTAGATCCCCATTTTACAGATAAAGCTAAGTCAAATGCCCAGATTGCACCATTAATCAATATGGATCTTAAGCCCAGTTTACTACACCAAAATCAGTACTCTTTATATGATGTCACAGCTTACTCTTAAAGACACATGATTATTAAAACATAAAGAAGAATTCTGAGTGCCAAAGATCCAAAATGGGTAGATGTAGCCAGTGAATAAGGGCATTCCACTGGATATATTTTCACTATAAATATTTATCTAATTTCTAAATACTTGAATAAAGCTTCAGTACGTTGTTTCAGCAATTTTGTATATTTAATCTCACCATTTTCTCATTCATTGCTGCATCAAATTTTGCTTGTACTTTATCTAGCTCAGCTTGCTTCTCATCCAGCAGTGCCTGTGCCTTCCCTAATTCAGCGTTAGCCACTGCTAAACGGCCTTCCTGCTTAGCCAGGTTAGCCTTAAAAGGAAGAAGAGGTGGTTGGTATATAGTTGTATTAGCTCTGTGAAACATGCATGACCTTTCATAAATAGTAACACAAATTACATAATTTTTGCACTTAACAGTACTTTGGAGGTCACCTATTTCAGCATTTTCAGCTGGGAAGCAGAAGGTCTTGGGAATATTTCATTAAGTTTTTCATTTTTATTAATAATTTTCAATATAGAAAACACAGAAAATGCAGCAATGTATAGAAAAGAGAACAGAAATTATGCCTGATTTTACTCAGATATAACCTGTGAGTATTGTGTTAAGAAGTCGATAACTAACCATTTTGATTTTTTTCATTTAATATAATATAAATCATTTTCCCACATCCTTAAACAATTTTTC